CGAATTGTTGGGTTGTAAAGTTAGCATGTGATGTTGGATGCCTGTCAGATATAGTTTGATTGTGTTGTATGATAATTTGAGTTTGAGGTGGCAAAAAGAAGCAAACCCCAACAGGATGTAATGATGAAAGGTTGTAAGATGTTGTGTTCCGAAAGGAATCTTTTACATAAAATGAAAGCTCTGTCGTACGTTTTCCGGGTATTAGTAGACAGTGCTAATTGGGCCAATGTTCTGCTATGTTGCATGATAGCGTCTAGTCCATTACTAGATGGTGGAATAGTGGAGTGGTCATGGCTGTGAGTGCGGCTGACGGGAGTATTTGACGATAAGCCTGGAAATTAAAGCGAGACAAATTGTCAGCAGCCGTGTTACATACACCTGGAACATGAACACAAAACAAGAAGAAATTATGACATGCAGCCAACCAAGTGAGTTTCCTCAGGAATCTCATAATAGTCAGTGATTTGGATCGGTCTTTGTTAATAATGTGGCAAGTTGCTTGGTTGTCTGAGTAGCAATGTACTGGCGAACCTGCCCATAAATGCCCCCATGCCACGGCAGCCGCCACTATGGTATATATCTCAAACAGAGCTGAGGTAGTGGAAAAATCCTCCAGGTCCTTATACTCTGAAGGCCAGCTGCCCCAAAGCCATTCGCTCCCATAAATTGCTGCAAAACCTGTGGTAGATGCCGCGTCTGACCAAATGGTAGGTGAGGAGTCAGACAATTTAGGGAGGAACATACTTTTACCATTCCAGGTGGTTAAAAAGTTTCTCCACATGAGTAGGTCTGCCGTGGCTTCGGTATCCAGGGATAACCTGTGTGCATCATGTCTAAAAAGTGGGAACATGTAAAGGAGTCATGAGATGAAAGCACGGCATTAAGGTATGATGCGCATAACAAAATTTAGTGACCCCAGCAGAGACTGTAGTTCTTTGAGGTTGCAATTACCGAGTTGTATGTAGAGATTTATGTTTGTGAGAATGTTTTCTACCTTGGTGCGTGGCAGGCTCACTTGCATGGTGGCTGAGTCTAGTATGATACCCAGGAATGTGATGAAGGTATCTGGTCCTTTGGTCTTGGTGGGGGAGACTGGGACACCCAACTGTTTGAATAGACTGATGGTTTCTTTGAGGCTACTGGGAGGGGAAATATTCTCCTCAACCAGTAAGAAATCATCCAGATAATGTATAACTGTAGGGCATCTGGTTATATTTAATAACAACCAGCATAGGGTTTCAGCGAATACGTCGAAAATGGCTGGGCTACTTTTGGAACCAAAAGTTAAACATGAGAAAAAGTAGTAGTTCCCGGCACACTTGATGCCATGTAGGTGCCACAGTGTAGGGTGGATAGGCATTAACTTGAACGCATTTGTTATATCGGTCTTACTGAGCCATGCTCCGACCCCTGCCTGCATGATAGCCGTAATGGCGTGATCTATGGTGGAATATTGCAGTGAAAATTCCTCAGAGGGTATGAGGGAGTTCAGACTAGGAGTGGCAGAGGTGTGTGGTGCCGATAGATCGATGATAAGTCTCTGTTTGTGGGAAGATTTCCCCGTGACAATACCGATGGGGTTTTTCCGCCATGTGGTGAAAGGAGGGGACTGGAAGGGCCCCGATAGGAAGCCTACTGCCACTTCCTTGGCTATGAGTGTGTCAACCGATGTAGGATTTTGCTGTGCGGATTGTAAATTAGGACATTCCAGGATTCCGGAAGGCATGTGTATGAGACCTGTGTGGAATCCTTCTGATAGACCCGAGATAATGAATTCTACCAAATGTCTAGATGGATGATGTGACAGTAATGTCGTCAGTACAGAAATGTTTATCGGCGTTAAGTATTGTTTAGGATACATTTTATTAGGACACATGGTTTTAGCATGTGCCCTGAAACATTTTAAACATATATGCAATAGCCGACATCCACTGTAATTACACGATCCGACATTAAAATTATTACATATCTGGGACTTGCCCAGAAACTTGATAGGCCATCTCAGTTTGTCTTTGGGTGTTTTTTCTGCAGAACCAGCGGAACTAGTGCCCTGCGAGGGGGTAGGTTCGTTCGCAGTGGTTGGACAGAAGTTAGCCGTATGAGCCATGGAGGAGCAGTATGCACAAGCCGGCGTTCTTAGACCTGCAAAGTGTCTGCAGAAAATGACCGTATCAATCTTGCTCCAGTTGGACCTTGTCCCGTACTGGGAGAAAGCGCCAGAAACCTTAGCAGAAAAGGATCTATGGTAATCATAGAAAGCTGACCCACCATATTTGTTGCCCAGGTCCACCAGCTTGTGCATATACAAATCAAACTCCTCACGTCTGTGGGGATATACTGCACAGATAACATCATGATAAATGCCAAATGCCAACACAAATTCAGGGATAGTCAGTTTCCTGTTTAATCGGGCATCCCTAGATTTGACCACCACAGAAATATCATCATAAGCGTAAGTCTTATGTTCCACCACATCCTGGGAGGCAATCAGCAATGAAGTTAAGTTGATATCTTTACCTTCTAGGATATCTCTTTTGAGGTGCTCAGGTATCATATGGGCAGGGTTAACCTCTTGATCAACAGAGGTGGTGGCTGGAGAAACTGATTGCAACTCGACCAGTGCTGGAGGGGTCGCAGCGGCCGGCCTAGCCATGGTAAGGGCTGTAATGACCGATTCGAGTTTCTCCAGCCTGGAATTGACCTTGCTCATGGACGCCATGAGGGATGAGAGCATGCTGTGTATATCTCCCGGGTTAGACTGGCTAGTCCCTACCCCGGCATCAATGTTATCGGTAGAGGTGTGCAGTAACTTGTAGAGTTACGCTTTCCTTGCTGTTGCGGGGAATGGGATTTGCCGTCTCCTGAGTTCATTGGTTATGCGAGGGATTGTCCATGACCTGAAAGATGCTGGACTAGCCATCACTCCTCCCTGTGATGGGGAGTTTGCTCTAGCCGGAGTGCCTGGTAGGGAGAAATCCTCTACCCCTTCTTGAGACATACTAAATGACAAAATATTTGGTTAATGTATGGAAACCCAGGGGTGGTACTGGCAGGCTAATTAGGCCGGAAAGTCGAAAAATTAATCTTGTTTGGTGACAGGTGAGGCCCTGCTAGTTGCCAAGTGGCTATGAGAGGCTCTGTCTATGCGTTGGTGCAAGGGGTTATTGAGGCCACCCATCGTAGTGGCAGGAATCGTAGGCCTCTCGGTGATAGTAAAAGAAAAAAGGGGGAGGGAGTGACAGGTAAGGCCCTCTCTATAATATTGCGAGGCGGCTAACTCACGTGTGGCCCGATGGGCGTTTGCCTCTGAAACGTTGAGGCGGGGTGTTGCACTCGCGGACCACTAAACGACAGGCAGAATGCCACGAAGGGAGATACCTATTTGGGCCTATACCCCTAACTTGCCAGTACTCTATGGCCTAGGGAAAATGAAACGTATGTGAACTACAACGTGAGCAGGCTTACATACCTGGTAGTATGTATAAAGTTTTGAGATTTCGACAGGTATAACAAACCTGGATAAACCTAAATGGGTAGAAACAAAATGTGATAGAGTGAGAATGGATCCTGTGAGACCTGTGTAGTCTGTATAGGCTGGGGTTTGGGCTTCTACCAGTATGAGTATGATAGTGACATGGAGCCAGGTAAGGGGTGTCCCTTAAGTAGGGAATGGGTGTGTCATATGCCCCTCCCACAATTACAGGCCAAAAGGCCTTAATATATATATATATATATATATATATATATATATATATATATATATATAAAAAAAAGCTGATATCCTTGCACTCAGGCTATATTCAATATATAAGGGCCGGGTGCTTTAAGCCAAAGCCAAATAATGTACAAATGTATAAAATAGCTTGCACTCACGGACTTGAAGTTTGAAAAAAGTCGCTTTATTCAAAGCATATCATTATATAATTATCGCACGTCCGGGGCTTTCCTCAAGGTGAATTGACAATAAAACATTGAATCAAAGTGTTTAAATATATACCCATAAAAAGAAAAAACTAACTCACCACAGGTGATGTCTTGCAGTATACCGGCGTCCTACTACCCCAGTGCGCATGCGTTAACAAACACAACCCGGAAGTTGTGGAACCGTGCGTAACCCGGTTACCATAGTAACATACCCACACCGTGAACTGCCGAAATAGGAGATGCACCAAAATACAAACACCAAGTGCCATACGAGAACCGCTTGATACAACTGTATCATACAAGCTCAAATAGATAGAGGGAGCACACACGGTTATGAACCCATCACTGTTACAAGTTCATTGAAACAAAACAAACTTATTAGGTTATAAAGTAGGAAGTTACCAAATATAGTCCCATAATAGATACATATACAATTCGTTACACGGGATAACTATCATTATTTACTCCTACAACATAAGTGCAATATTTAGCACCTCAATATGTATCCAATAAATAACAGACGGTCCAAAAACGTGTGTACTCCACTTCAATCAAAATACAGTACCAAAACACTTTGTTAAGACGAATTCATATATATAGGCAGGTTGAGATTATATAAAAGGATGATAAGATAATAACTCATTCAGTCCATTAGGTGACACAGTATTAAGTTCATAGATCCAGTACGTTTCTTTCTGTAGCAAAAGTCTACTCCGATCTCCTCCCCTAGGGGGTTGGGGTATGTGGTCAATAGCGGTAAATTTGAGAGTGGCCAAGGAATGTCCCTTTTCCAAAAAATGTTTGGCAACCGGTTTATCAGAGTGGCCATCTCTGTAGGCTGTCCTAATATTGGACCGATGTCCCCGAATACGTTCACAAAGAGGTGTGTCCGTTTTGCCAATATAAATTAAGCCGCAAGGGCAAGAAATTTTTTAAATTACAAAAGAGGTTTTACAGGTGATTGTATGCATTATATTATATCGTTTGTTGTTATGTGGATGATTAAAGGTGCGCGACGGGACCATATGGCCACACGTCACGCATCCCAGACACCTCACAGAACCCCTAATCTGTACTTTTTGCTCCTGTTGGTAGCTCCGTACTGGATCAGTATTCACCAGTAAATCACGTAGATTTTTATTCCGGCGGTAACAGATCATCGGTGGTTCTTTAAAAATAGGGGGTAAAGTAGTGTCCAGAGATAACATGTTCCAGTTCTTCCTCACAATATTGGCAACTTGGTTTGCTTTATTGTGATATGTAATCGGAAAAACAAGCCTGGGTGGTGTCATAGATTCTTTCTCAGCATGAGCATTCTGTGCCTTCTCTAATGCCTTATCCAATAATTGTTTTCTATAGCCTCTTTCCAAAAATTTGTCGGTCATCTCATCTATTTGTGTTTGCATAACCTTATTGTCGGAATTATTACGTATTACCCGACGATATTGTGCATATGGAATTGAATCAATTAAAGGTTTAGGATGAGCACTATTGCTGTGCAAAATTGTGTTCCGATCAGTAGGTTTAGAAAAAAGGCTATAAGACAAACTAGAATCCACCATCTTAATTTCCAAATCCAAAAACTGTATTTTATCCATGCTGATACGAGCTGTCATTCTCACCGGTAAAGGCAAATGATTCAAGTATTCCACCATTGCATGGGCCTGCGATACTGTACCCCTCCAAATAATAAACACATCATCGATGAAATGAAAATATTTAACAATATGCTGTTGAAAAATTGAAAAATTATTTTCCATTTCATAGGCATACATGTAGGCATTGGCGTACATCGGCGCCATCGCTGCCCCCCATAGAAGTCCCCGAAATTTGCATAAACCAGTCCTGTTCAAAACGAAAATAGTTGTGTTTTAAAGTAAATTCTAAAAGTTCCAAAACATATTCAATCGGTGGACCTTGATAAACTGTGGAGTGCATAGTAATCAACACCAATGATGTGTCATTCAAATGCATTTCTGTAATTCAGAAATTAAATTGGGAGTATCCTTAATGCATGTTGATAATCTTTCCACTGGTTTCTTGAATAAAGCATCCAGCCATTTATATATATATTATAAAATACAACTAATAAGTAAATTAAATAAAAAATTTAAAAATAATAATAAAAATTAAAAAAAATATATGTATCTATATGAAATGTAATTCTAACTGTATTTTGATATTTATATATATATATATATTTATATCAAAATACACTTAGAATGAAATTGTATATGTATATCTATGTATATATAAATAAATAAAAATAATACGAAATATACATATGTCCATGTACAAAATGACATAAATAATTATATGAATATACACGTAGACTTCAAATATATAAATATGCATATATATTTAAATTATACATGCGTATTTATGTGATATTTTTACATAATTAAGTAATTTTATTGATTGCAATTTGAGGGACCTGCCTGACAACCCAGGCCGAAAGTTGAGAGAATTTAATTTGCTAGAACTGTATTTACCCTAACTTTCTATGACACCCTAAAACCTGTACATGGGGGGTACTGTTTTACTCGGGAGACTTCGCTGAACCCAAATATTAGTGATTTAAAACAGTAAAACATATCACAGCGATGATATTGTCAGTGAAAGTGACTTTTTTTGCATTTTTCACACACGAACAGCACTTTTTCTGATGATATAATTGATATAATATATAATTGCTGTGATACGTTTTACTGTTTTAAAACACTAATATTTGTGTTTTCTGAGTATAAAAGTACCCCCCATGTACAGGTTTTATAGCGTTATTGAAAGTTACAGGGTCAAATATAACAGTCAAATATTTTTACATTGAAAATTGGCAGGTTGGTTACGTTGCCTTTGAGAGCGTATGGTAGCCCAGGAATGAGAATTACCCCCATGATGGCATACCATTTGCAAAAGAAAACAACCCAAGGTATAGCAAATGGGGTAGGTCCAGTCTTTTTTAGTAGCCACTTAGTCACAAACACTAGTCAAAATTAGCATTCAATTTAGTTTTTTACTTTTTTAACACACAAACAAATATGAACTCTAACTTTGGCCAGTGTTTGTTACTAAGTGGCTACTAAAGACTAAAAGACTGGACATACCCCATATTGAATACCCTGGGTTGTCTACTTTAAAAAAAATATGTACATGTGGGGTGTGATTCAGAGATTTATGACAGATAATAGTGTTACAATGTCACTATTGATACATTTTAAAAATATATATTTTGAATCAGCAATTTCCTATTTGTACCTATAGCCCTATTAAGCAAAAAAAAGCAATAAAGCAAAATTTTGAATCTATTTAGCAGTTTTTTTCATTAGCTTTCATAGGTAAGTAAAAGATTTTTCAAGCAAAAGTCAAAAAACATGTTTTTTTTTAGATTTTTCACCATATTTTTTTTTTTTAAAGTAAATTATATGACATGATACAAATAATGGTGTAACGGAGCTCCTTGTACTCCGACTGAGTACCCTCCGTTGACGGATGCTCCTAGCGCTTCCTGAGGACTCCAAGCAGTGCAGCAGACACCACAACCACCGCAGACTGCGCAACCGCTGTATCTTGACTGAAGTATCGCCGTCTTCCTTCCACCCTGGATCAGCTTCTGTCCTCCAGGACTGTGTGGGAAAGAACTCTTCCTTTCACCCTGTATGAACCTCCAGCATCCAGGACTGTGTGGTGAAGACCCTTCCTCCAAGGAGAGCGTGTCAGGAACAAGCTCTTAAAAGAGCTAAGTGATTCAAGCTCAGGGGAGAATGCAGAGCATAGCAATCCCCAGTGTGATTATAACAGCTCCCTCCAATAACGAGACAAGGCTACGTTTAGAGGGATCAAGAAGAACTGTCTAATCCTTTATTTCCCTTGGGACCAGCACATAGGGTCACAACATTAACATTGCTGTGAAAACTCAATAAAATCACAAACAGTCAAACCATAGCAGGCAACACACAGTGACTTATCACAACGGCACATTTTTAAAGGGGTGGGGGAGACAATATTTAACAGAAAATAGCTCACGTGTCTGCAGAATTAGCAGTATGCAAATCTACCTGAATATGCAAATGAAAAAGTCTTGCTATTCAGGTAGTGCATATTGCTGTTGCTACCAACAGAGGGCACTAGACAAGCTCCATAGCCAAACCCACCTAGTTGGTAGCAAACCTCCGCATTACAGGAGAGCAGGCAATACATTACACAGTACACACACTATAAACAATTACATTACACACACCCTGCACCTATAATGGGTACAGGGTGACTAAAACATAAGAGAAATAAAGCAACCTACATAAATAGTCTGTCTGAAGGTAGAATAGGGGCTTTAAATCCAAATACATCAAAGAGTCATATTCAAGCAGGCCTCTCCAGGACCAAGTGGCGAAGGGCATTTCGTCACAAATGGTATATAAAGAAAGCCCTTTTTGTCCTGAAAAAAATATATATAACTTGTATGGGAACAGTAAATGAGAGATAGGAAAATTACAGCTAAACACAAACACCACAAAAGTATTAACCCCTTTAGGACGGAGTCAATAGTGCACGTTCTGATCAAAACAAAACGTAAACAAAAACTGTAATTTGAGCTATATGTCTGTTCAACCGTAATTCACCGCTGTCACATTAAGTGCACCCACACTTATTTTGTTCAGGAGAAACAGGGCTTTAATTTATCATTAACTATTCATATATGGAACATAATTTATTATGAATAAAATTTTAAAAAATGTGAGAAAATAAGATTTTTTGTGAAATTTGTATTTCCGTCTGACATTTTAGCTGTGAATGTCATAATACTGTAAGGTTTTACTGCAAAAAAATGCACATATTTGTAATAAGCGATGTCCCACGAGTACAACAGTACCCCCCATTAACAAGTTTTATGGTGTTTTGGAAAGTTACAGGGTCAAATATAGAACGTTCCATTTTCACATTGAAATTTGCCAGATTAGTAATGTTACCTTTAGACGGTGTGGTAGCCCAGGAATGAGAATTACCCCCATAATGGCATACCATTTGAAAAAGTAGACAACCCAAGGTATTGAAAGTGGGGTATGTTTAGTCATTTTTAGTAGCCACATTTTTAGTAGCCACAAACACTGGCCAAATTTAGCGTTCATATTTGTTTTTGTGTGAAAAAGCAAAAAACTAATATTTGGCCAGTGTTTGTGACTACGTGGCTACTCAGAAAGACTGGACATACCCCACTTTCAATACCTTGGGTTGCCTACTTTTGCAAATGGTATGCCATCATGGGCGTTATTCTCATTCCTGGGCTACCATACGCTCTCAAAGGCAACATAACCAATCTGGCAAATTTCAATGTTAAAAAAATGAAATGCAAGCCTTATATGTGACTCTAACTTTCCAAAACACCATAAAACCTGTACATGGGGGGTACTGTTATTCTCGGGAGACTTCACTAGACACAAATATTAGTGTTTTAAAACAGTAAAACCTATTACAACAATAATATAGTCCATAAAAGTGCCGTTTGTTTGTAAAAAAATGCAAAAAACTTAACTTTTACTTAAAATATCATCATTGTCATACAATTTACCAGTTTGAAACACTAATATTTGAGTTCAGCGACGTCTCCCGAGTAAAACGGTACCCCCTATGTACAGGTTGTATGGTGTCTTGGAGAGTTACAGGGTCAAATATAGTGCTTGTGAATTAAATTCTCTGCACTTTCTCCCTGTGTTGTCAGGCATGTCAATCAAATTTGAATTAATCAAATCACATAATTATGTTAAAAGATTACTTAAATATACACGTAGAATTTTAATATATATTCATTTATAGGTATTTAAATTCTACGTGTATACTAATGTAATTTTTTATGTAATTATATGTATTTATCTATCTATATATATATATATATATTTGCGGTTATTTGTATTTTATATATAGATATATATATAGAATGTCATTCTAAGTGTATTTTGTTACCAATATATATATATATATATATATATTAATAACAAAATACAGTTAGAATGAAATTACATATGAATATATAATTTATATTACATTTTGTTTCAATATTTTATTTATTTATTTATTTTAGTATTTTATTTATTTATTATTGTAATTATACGTATATATATATATATATATAATATATGTGTATATATCTATTATATATAAAATATATATACATATTATATATATGTAACGTCATTCTAAGTGTATTTTAATATTAATATATGTACTTATATTAAAATTAAAATACACTTTGTATGACGTTACATATATATATATATAATATGTATATATATTATATAATATATATATATATATATATATATATATATAAAACACAAGATCCAGCGCACTCACCTATCCACTAAACAGCAACTTCAAAGTTGAAAGATTTTATTAGTTTTTTTTAAAACACCTAATCTAGGCAAAAATAATGGGGGTTTAGTTACATTATATGATCATACATTGCATAAGCCTGCCACAACGTCAATGTACCCCATCTTTGGCAGGTCCTACACTAACAGCCTAATGTCTGCTCTTATGAGATTAACCACTTACTTGAGGAAAAAAAATTCCATCTGGGGCTCTCTGCAATACAAGGCTAAATAGGGCCCTGGGATGAGGCACCTGTGACAGGGAGGGGTGCAAAACCAAGGAGTTGGCTAGACTCCCAAATATATATAAATGAAACAAGGGGGGGTTGGCTGCACTCACCTGAACATGCATAAATGGGGGTGCTGCTGGGGGCCAAATAATACAAAACACAAGATCCAGCACACTCACCTATCCACTAAACAGCAACTTCAATGTTGAAAGATTAGTGGTTAATCTCATAAGAGCAGACATTAGGCTGTTAGTGTAGGACCTGCCAAAGATGGGGTACATTGACGTTGTGGCAGGCTTATGCAATGTATGATCATATAATGTAACTAAACCCCCATTATTTTTGCCTAGATTAGGTGTTTTTAAAAAAACTAATAAAATCTTTCAACATTGAAGTTGCTGTTTAGTGGATAGGTGAGTGCGCTGGATCTTGTGTTTTGTATTATTTGGCCCCCAGCAGCACCCCCATTTATGCATGTTCAGGTGAGTGCAGCCAACCCCCCTTGTTTCATTTTTATATATATATATATATATATATAAATACATTTCTATTTTATTTTAAACATGTTTAATTCTTTTTTTTTTTACTTTCCCACCAGCAGGGGGACTGTCTGACATTTCAGACAATCCCCCTGCTGGCAGATCCACAGCCAGCTATAGGGGGCCATGTGATCGCTCTTTGATGGCCCCCAGAGGCCTCATTTGCCAGGGAAGGCTGCCTGGGCTGTCAGACAGCCCTCCAGAAGAGGAAAACGAGGTAAGTCCACCGGACCTCCAGGGGTAGAAAGCCGTTACAGCGTTCTATGCCGCCTCAACGGCTTTAAAGCCCTTTTAATGCGGGACGGTATAGAACGCCGTAACGGCGTTAAGGGGTTAGAAGAGCCCTGGTCGTTAACGTACAACATCGCAAAAACAGGCCAGTCCTTAAGGGGTTTAATGACCCTGATCTGAGTGCCCAAGGTCTCTAAATAGTGCTCAGGTCCATGCAGTGTAGGGGAAACGCCACAGTGTTAAAGTTCTGACTGGCCGTACACATAGTCCTATGCCCAAAATAGTTACAGGGCACTTGGTGCTTTTGCTCTTAGATAGCGTTTGTTCCCCTTAGTCTCAGGCACCTTCCCTCCAAAAAGCCCTCTCCTGGTGGATTTCAAAGTTGTTCAAAACCGCAAACCTAGTTGTCCGGGAACCGCACAGTCACCTCATGCCAAAAGCTTTTCTATAACATTCACGGCTAAGTCCCGCTGAGGTGACCTGAAACCCACAAAGTCCTCATGCCGAAATTAGTTCCATAGTTCCAGCCACCAGAGAGCTAGCATTTGGTTCCATTCGCATGAAGAGAAAGTGCCGAACCAGGGGCACCCATGGAAAGATGCTAATGGCGGCTGGGCAGTGTAACTCCCAAACGGTGCCCCAGATCTGGACAATAGTCGTGGGCAGGAGGCCTGCTTCCACACTCCTCCAGGAGTCCGTGACAAACATCCATCGTAAAGAGCATTGGTAACATTGTGCATGCTTCTACAAATAAGAATGCCAGTGTTTGCAGGAAGTCACCTACAACCGACTAATGAAGTGTTGGTGTAACTTGTCACTGGTAATACAGTAGATGCTGTCTTTTGTTAACACAGTGTATAACTGGCAACTGACATCAATCATTTTGTTTAAGCAATCTCACTCATTCATTGGTTCAACAGGGTAATGGCAGCTTTATATTATTTATCTACAGCTTTAGTTATCATTATACTGTACATCTGATGTGTGTCATCATTCCCTTGGTGTATAAACATTTATTGACTAAGATATTAATTGTAAACTTGATTCCAATGGAATCCTACACACTTGAAATAATGTGATAAAAACAGCCCTTGAATTTTCTTTTTGTTATGTTGTACAATTACCATCCTGTCCAGCATAGCAGGTTTATTTTGTGGTCAGCTATGTGAGAGGATGTTGTAAGTTAAAACTGTCTGATTTTGCAACATTAGAGATTTTAATTTTTGCCTGAGATTTTTAAACTAGTTTTTCAGAAGCTTTGCTGATTGTGATTATTTATTATTATTATGCTATTATTTATATTGCGCCAACAAATTCTGCAGCGTTTTACAGTGGGTGGACGAACAAACATGTAGTTGTAACCAGTCAAGTTGGACACACAGGAACAGATGGGTTGAGGGCCCTGCTCAATGAGCTTACATGCTAGAGGGAGTGGGGTAAAGTAATATAAAAGGTAAGGATAGTATTAGACTAATGACAGGTGCAAGGGAGGAATCAGTCGGGAGCTATTAACAGTTTAATTGATACGCTTTTATGAAGAAGTGGGTTTTTGATGATTTTTTGAAGGAGTGGAGACTGGGTGAGCATCTAACAGAGGAGGGAAGTGAGTTCCTCAGGAACGGTGCAGCCCTCAAGAAGTCTTGAAGGCGAGCATCAATGGTGCGAGTACGGACAGAAGATAGACGTAAGTCTTCAGCAGAGCGTAAGGGCCTAGACAGGACATACTTGTGTATTAGGGAGGATAGATAGGTGGGAGCAGCATTATGTAGAGATTTGAAAGCAAGAACCAGAATTTTAAATTGAGCCCTAAATCTTACAGGAAGCCAATGTAGGGACTCACAGAAGGGTGAGGTGTGGCCGGTGCGGGCGGACAGGAAGATGAGCCTTGCTGCCACATTCATTATGGACTGTAACGGCGCTAGTTGGGAGCACGTAAAACCACTGAGAAGCGGATTACAGTAGTCAAGGCGAGAAAGGACAGTGGAATGGACCAGCACCTTAGTCGCATCTGGCGTTAAGTAGGGTTGGATGCGCAAAATGTTTTTGAGATGGAAGCGGCAGGATTTGGTGATAGACTGAACATGAGGCATGAAGGAGAGGTCAGAGTCAAAGAGAACACCTAGGCAGCGAGCCTGTGTGGTGTAGCTGATGTTAACACTGTTGACTTGGAGGGAGACTGGAAAAGGGCTGCAGGTGGGTCAGCACTGCTTAAAGGACCACTCTAGGCACCCAGACCACTTCAGCTTAATGAAGTGGTCTGGGTGCCAGGTCCCTCTAGGATTAACCCTTTTTTTTTATAAACATAGCAGTTTCAGAGAAACTGCTATGTTTATAAATGGGTTAATCCAGCCTCCAAATCCTCTAGTGGTTGTCTCATTGACAGCCGCTAGAGGCGTTTGCGTGCTTCTCACTGTGAAAATCACAGTGAGAACACGCAAGCGTCCATAGGAAAGCATTGTAAATGCTTTCCTATGAGACCGGCTGAATGCGCGCGCAGCTCCTGCCACGCATGCGCATTCATCCGAAAGGGAGGAGAGGAGGCGGAGAAGAGGAGGAGAGCTCTCCGCCCTCAGGGCACTATAGTGCCAGGAAAACGAGTATGTTTTCCTGGCACTATAGTGGTCCTTTAATCTAGGAAAGGGATAAGGAAGCAGAATAACGCAGACAGATACTGCAGGGCTCGGGCTGTGCCGTGACATATATATATATATATATATATATATATATATATATAAATACATTTCTATTTTATTTTAAACATGTTTAATTGTAGAGATTGTGTCAGTGAAGTGAGTTGCAAAGTCTGAGACGGTCAAGTTGGTAGGTGGAGGAGGAACAATAGGGAAAAAAAGAGAGTTAAATGTGTAAAATAGTCGTTTGGGTTCGCGGGAGAGTGTGGTTATGAGGGTATTGAAGTAATTTACTTATGCAGACAAAAGAGCCAAGCTGTATGAGCGCAGCATAAATTTATAGTGGAGAAAGTCAGATGCACAGTGAGACTCCAACAGCGTTCAGCAGTTCTGGAGCATTTTTGGAGATATCGAGTCAGCTTGGTGTGCCAAAGTTGTTGTTGGGGGTGCATGCTGCATTTTAATGTAGGAGGTTCCATGATGTCTAGTTGAGAGAAGAAGGTGGAATTGTAGAAGGACGTTGCAGAGCTAGGACAGGTGAGGTTTGAGATAGGTAAAAGGAGAGTTTGGAGATTAGTGGAGAAATGCTCTAGGTCAAGACATTGGAGGTTTCTGTGAGATTGATGTTCAGATGGTGGTATTAATTGGGTTTTAGGTATGCCGATGTTAAAAGTCAGCAGATAGTGGTCAGATAGAGGAAAAAGAGTATTGGAGAGATTAGAGACGGTCCTGAGATTGGTGAAGGCGAGATTTTACGTGGATTACAATCAGCTCAGTGAACCATGGACCAAGTGTGCTATAATCTTTACTGAAATACATGCTATCATTAAACAAAGGGATGTCCATTGCAGCGGGAATAGCGCATCAACTGAAATAAAATGGTTATTGAAGATGTTCCATGCAAACTTCTGAGCCACGGAAAGAAACCTTTCAGTAAGCACAAGCGCAATCTGCGCTCTTCAATTACTCCTGGGACTGTGCTTATCCTTCTAAACGCACGTCACAGAGGAAAGCGTGTGATCTTCCTGAAGCAGCTTCAATCTGGCCTTTTGCTGGTAACAGGACCACTGGCTGTCAACAGAGTGCCTCTGCGTAGGGCTCACCAAAAGTTTGTAATTGCCACTTCCACCAAAGTTGATATCTCAACTGTTAACATTCCAAAGCATCTGAATGATACTTCAAAAGGTAATGTGCAGACCCAAGCACCAGGAGGGAGAGATTTTTGACACAGAGAAGGAAAAATATGCAGTCACACAACAGCGCAAAGCAGATCAGAAATTCGTGGACTCTCAGCTCCTGCCATTGGTCAAGAAAGAGCCCCAGCTTCGTGGATGCCTGCACTCAGTATTTTTCTTGTCAAATGGAATGTACCCTCACAAACTGGTCTTCTAATTAGATTCACAAAGACCTATTAAAATATTGTAAAACTGTAAAAGAAAATAAAAAAATTACCTTTTTGGCGATAGGGAATTCACAAATATTTTAAATGACCTGTAACCTTTACACGACTCTATGCCATGTGTGCGGTTCTAATCACAGTCTGATTACTACCAAACATGTTATGTATTATGCTTTTCCTCTTCTTTTTTTTCTGTTAACACAGATTTGTTAACTCAGTTTAACATTTATTTAAATATGTTTTAATTCCGTTTCTTCAAAATGGTAATTTAAAGGGGAAGTATTGTATCTCTGTTTTATATAAAGTGGTGGTTTTAGCAATGTCTAACACTTGCACTTTGTGCACCTGTTTTTTGTATTTGCAATTTGGTGGTTGTGTGAAGAAACCTTAATTTGGAGTGGCCCATGATTAAAAGTGATTGGACAGAAATTACCGAAACATCTGGAACATTTATTTATTTGCTAATGTTTCTGTATACTTTCTAAACTTTCATCAGAAGGTCGATATATGCCTATATATGTCAAAGTAACGGTAATCAACTACTAGGAAATGTACAGTATTCACCCAATTGCAAATTAGAGTATGACATAGTAGAATGATATATCTGGTTTTAGAATATGTGTTTCAAAGCATGTTTCACACACCCAGTTACAATTATTAATAACCTTTGTTTTGGAAAAATAGGCCTTTATATTCAGCCTTATTTTATTTTTTCTGTTAAAAAAACGTGATTATTTAACTGACCACTAAATGAAACTAGTTGAATTATATTAAACTAGAGCTATGTAGGTATGTCAAAAGTGAACAAGAAAAATCTCTCTGAAATAATTCATACACTTGAAGAGCACTTTTTATTATATTTTGTTTATATTTTGTTTATAATTTATTATATGTATTGATTCTATCATTTGTCTTTTCTTTTGTTCTGTGCAGTCACTTAATTCACTTTCACATACTTGTAACTTCAGTGAACTATGAAACAGACACGTACTAAGCAAGCATATCAACCATTTTTTGCTAGTAGCAGGTTATTGACTATTTTCCTTTAAATATTTTAACCTGATCATTTCATTCTAAAAGTGGCAAAGGTAGAATACCCTATAATTGTTTAAGATATCTTACAGAAATTTTGTAGAAAAGAGATTCTTAAAAACTTGTATAGAGGACTAGTTTAATTGTAAAACCTTTCAAAAATCTAATATAAGTTTCATATTATTGAGCTCCACATGTAAAAATTTTAAATGGATAATATTGTTTTCTTCCATCTCACTTCTCCGACGCTTGTTTTAGTCTAAATGCTTCTTAGCATGGGTAATGTATATGGAAATATTTTTGTCACAGAAAATGATAACTACGAAGTGCACCTTATTTATATCCAACAGATAAACATGCCTCAGAAATACAAATGCAGTGGCTGCTAAGCTCGAGCAGTATGATGCAACATCTTATGGGTTACAGAAGGTGCCTTGAAGGTAAATTCTGTACAGAGTAACACAATGCTTAACTTGCAGACATAATGGAGAACTTTTCTACTTTCTTGCAGATTAAGTAATTGGAATTTTTAGTGGGAGCGCCAATTAATGTGGCACAACTGGTTCTGTTTTTCATAAACTTCTGTCTGGTAGAAACCAAACTAAAGTGGTTTACTTATTCTAGGTAGTGAGTAGGTCACTTTTAATGCAATAAATGTTCAGGAAAAAAAAATTATATATGTATTATTTTGTGTGTATAATAAAAAAAATATGGGGCCTGTATAAAGTGACACCAAGAATTTTCTGAGATTTCATTTGCATGTTACAGAACTTTTATCTCAGCACTAACTAGAAAATGTTAGTAATCATGTAGGATTGCACACTCTCATTTCAGGTACACACCCAATACACTGAGCTTGTCCTTATAAAAGTATAAATATAAAAAGATGAGTCATGATTAACGCTCAGGGTTATTCAATAAAGTTAAAATGGTCAGGAATTCAAAACTAAGTTAAGGTGAATTTCAAACTTAACGCCAAATTAGCTAATTAGCTAAATTAGCTAATTTACTAATGTTATCCTGAGTATTTTATATTATAATGAAAAAGAGAAATTACAGATTATTGAAATTTAAGAATTTATGTACAAACCTACATGAATGTATGTCATTAGTAAATCCAATAAACTGATATTATTTTGTTTCTGTAAAAGACAAATGTTTCAGTAAAGCTTTCACATACACACATTTACTATTTTCATAAATGAATAAGGATAAATAAAAGTGGACTTTAGATTAAGTTATCAGTTCATTCTTATTAGAGAGTAGAGATTGACAGCGTGTGAGAAAATGTGTTACTATAAACCGACAGAGCTATTATTGTCTGGCAAACCTGAACACAGTTACTTCATCATTTTCTTTCGTGGCCTCTGCATCGAAATTTTACTGTGTTATGTCTACCAGTTGCATTACTAAAATTGCTCCTAATTAGGTGCTATGCATTAAGGAAGAATGGCAAGCATGTATAAATGAATAGCTGTTCCTGAGACAAGCATAAAACTATTTGAAATTACATCAAATAGCTCTAGCTGGAGATATATAACTAACTAGTGTATGTGAAATTATTTTTATTTAGTGTTTATTATAGTATTTTACAGAATTTAGTAGAACTTTCCATTTTACTTAATAAATCATAGCTTGTTTTCTGTTATCTCGTATATCTCAGGAACTATTAAAATATATGAGTGTAGGGGGCATGGCATGGAACCCGAGAGTAGAGGCCGCATGTCAGAGTAGCTCTGTGCTACCACGGCCTTTTAACAGCGAAATGAGCACCCCGAGAGAATACACAGCGACCGGAGCCATGTCCCAACAAAAGGCCAGATGACAAACAGAAAGGAGCGACAAGAATAACTTTTTTGCAGCCCGGAATACCCACACGAAATCCGCGGCAATGTCCAAGGACTCTCAAGATGGCGCCCGCAAGGAACGCACTGAACTGCAAGGTACAACCGCCATAGATGCCCCAGCAACACCAGGCATAATACAAAAAATGCTAGACGAAATGCACCACAAACTGCAACTCACTCTCCAAACATCTCTGAATGAAATCAAAGCAGAAATAAGGGATCTGGGATCACGCACTTCCACATTGGAAGACAAAATGGCGAACCACGCAGAAGCATACAATGTCATGAGAGCTAAAGTAGAAGACATGCATGACAAAATGGTAACCTTTGAAAATAAGCTAGCTGATATGGAGGACCACTCCAGGTGCAATAATCTAAGGCTGAGAGGGGTGGCGGAATCAGTGAGCACAGCGGACCTGCACGCATACCAAAAGGTCTGTTCAAGCACCTCACCCCAGACCTCCACCAGGACATGCTGTTGCTGGACCGGTACCACAGGGTCCCCAAACCAAGATTCCTCACATCGGAGGCACCACGCGACACCCTGGTGAGACTCCATTACTTTCACATCAAAGAAGAGTTAATGAGAGCAAGCAGACAGCACCTAAACCTCCCAGCACCATATGAAGGAGTAACAATATATGCAGACATATCAGCAGCGACACTGAAGAAAAGGAAAACCTTTGCCTCCATCACAGAACAATTGAGACAACACAAGAAGCTGTACAGGTGGGGATTCACGGTCAAACTGTTGGTAACACACGAAGGCAAGATCACAGCCATCACGACACCGTAGGCCGGTATACAAGCCCTAAGAGACTGGGGCCTGCCAACACCTCAGATGCAACCGAAAGTGGCAAGACCCGCTGAACTAAACCCCGAGTGGAAGAAAGCTGCAAGGAACAGATAAGTAGCACAGCAAAAACCACAAGACTATGCAAGTACCACACAGAGACACTGGGACCAACACTACAATGGGGGGGGGGGCCCAAATGGGGGACCAGGTCGGCCAAGCTATAGAACTGACCTTAAGATACTTCAGCACCAACCCAGATTAACTCAAGGACCCCAGGGGCACTCAACCAAAAAACCCTAGCCACACGGTCAAACACAGTATAGACATTGTGAAAGGAGGGGTGAACAGTGAATTAACATTACACATCCAGGCCAATTGACCGCTACGGACAAACATGGAAGCATGATGCTTCCTACCCCGAAGCGCCTATGAAGGGCGCAAGGCCAAAACCATGGCACATTGTTTAGTTACTATTGTTTTATTTAAAAATTTTATTTTCCATGTTCCAAACTGTTTATATCACACGCAAGAAATTCTCCATATTACCACAACACTTGGTGAACCCACACACGTAAGGGGCTTCAGCCCACACATGGCACAAAAAAGGGAGCTGCCATCCGGTTCGAACATTCTGGGAAGGGTGGCTCTCCCACTGGTAGACACAACAACACTACAACCGCTTAAAAACCAAGGATATGACCCCCCATAAAAATATACTCCTATAACACTTAGGGCCTTAATCACCCAGCCAAGTGGAGCCTGCTTCGCAAAGACATAAAACAGCTACACCCTGAAGTGGTGTGTCTTCAAGAAACACACTTTAAAACCAAAGCATACTTACCCATATTTCTACAGGATTACCTCACCAATACCACGCCACACACTCCAGCAAATCCAAGGGCACCTCCATCATACTCATCAGTAAAGATGTGGCATTTACCCTCACGCAGGTGGCGGTAGACACAGAGGGACGGTATGTCATAGTAGTGGGGACCTTCAATGACGTTATTCACACTATCATAAATATCTATGCCCCCAACAGGGAACAAAGAAACTTTCGCCACAGGGTACTTAAGAAATTATCCACCATGCAACAAGGGATAGGGGTAATATGTGGCGACCTAAATCATGTGCTAGATCGAATGGTAGACACCACGATACCACACACGGCCAACAGAATGAGATCGCTCAAGAGACAGGGAAAGACAATTCAAAAGCTACTCCGCGACCACCACTACAGTCAATGACAGTCAAACCAGCCAAGTTTCGTGATTCGGGCATAGAGCTGGATCAGAGCCTCGGTAACAAATGAGGCAAGCTTGTGTGGCGAGCTTTGCACGTAGGAGAGAGGGGCTACACCTTCCTGTCCACAGT